TTTTTGAAAAATAACTGAGATATCACCTTAATCTGAATGTGTTATTAGAATTTTTGTAGCACGCTAGATTTAGAAGCTAGAAGCTACTACTTTTCTTATGGACGCCATATTTGATTTTTACGGAATGAGATAGAGGACGCAAAATAAGGAAAATCGTGACGGGTCACACTCTATAGTCGCTACCTTTACACAAATTTACAAGAAAAATGTCAAAATCAAATGTTTTGCATTCATTTCTCAACAAAACATCCACGGGTAATTAGATGTTGCTGAACCAACATGGTTATGTAGGAGATTCAAATGAATTTTGTCCTCTATTTCATTCTGTAAAAATCCAATATGGTGACCATAAGAAATAAGAAAGCAGTAGCCTGTAACTTTTATATCTAGCGTGATATCGAAATTCTGATAACATAGGTATTCAGATTCCCCGAAAAAATGTGGCCATAGAAGGTGCTATCAGGAACCGGTCCATTTCCCTGTTCCCATCGTTTAAGTTGGGCAAAATGAAAACGAAATTTGACATTTTCAGTTTTTGGGTGATATCTCGGTTATTTTCAAAGATTTTTCACAAATTTCAAAATTTTGTTTATCGTCACAAGAAGGGGCCCCCATTTAACCTGCACGGCACCTCCTACTGTTACGGACATCCGAATGGCGAACTAAAATTTTGAACCACCCTGTAGGAGTCGGATGGTGTTAGGTCTGGTGAGTGCGATGCGAGGTGCGATGGATGTGAGAAATCAGTGCCACGTGAAATAAACTGTTCAACTCAATCTAAAATGATTGCGCAGCATTCCAAAAGACTCCCTAGCCGCGTGACAGGTTACGCCGTCCTGATGAAACCATTGTTGATTACGTGGTAGGTTACTGGCACGACAAAATCGCTCAAGATCATGCAGGAATGGAGTAGCGCTCTTAATACAATTTAACGGGGTTCCATCGTCATCGTCAACCAAATACGGGCCCAATATGCCATGTGAGGATACAGTATACCAAATGGAAATGGTATCACGGTCACTGAAGGGATTGGTCGACGGTTAGATCGAGGCGTTCGTGTATCCATTTAAATGAATATGGCGAGGAATATGGCTTTCATCCTACAACCAAGCATTCGACAAGAACGACCCGTCCCCATAATCCGTAGTTACGTTCGTAGTATTCGGCTCTTATCCGCTGCAGTCAGACGCTGTCGGGTCTATTGTCAATTGTGTATGCAAATTCACCAGTGATATTCATTTTGAATGATGACCTTCGCAGGCTCCGCTTCGGCGATTCTGATTCAAAACCGAAACCTTACGATTACCCACTTTCGGAGATACGCCAGACAAACCGAAATTTGCCGATTTCGTTTTTATTTTTTTCTGATGTTATTTGAACAGATACAAAAAACACTTTCTCAGTGCCACTTTTTGGCTCTACAAGACACCTTTGAGAGATTTTCAGTACAACATTTCGTTTCGGAGAAATCATCAACTTTATTTTTTTTATATGGCTCGCAAATAAAAAAATAAAAATAAATAAATAAACACCTTCATCGGGCCAATTTTCCATTTTCCAGGAAATTTGTCCGAGAGGTATTCCTACATGATTAAGGCGTTGTGCGCGGGTGCACCATCCTGTTGAAACCATCACATTCCGACTTTTGTTTTTTGTGTCGTATTTTTGTATTATGTATCTTATACTTAAAATTTTAATATAACACATTAGATATCTCTCGAGATATCTAAAATTAGTACATAGTTTTTGAGAAAAATAAACATTTCGGTTTTTTGACTGGAAATAAGGGCGTGAAATGTCGCATCGTAAAAATATTTTGGTTCGATCAGAAAATCTGTCCCACTTTTATGTGTAAAGTTAAAAACAGTTTCCCAAAAACGTCTAAACAGTGCACTGTACAGTCATATACCGCTGGGATTAATTTCGCTTCTCTAATGATCGTATCTAGTAGTTTGTCCCAAGACTTCTACAAAACAGGAAGCACTTTTACTTAAGTACTTACCTACTCGTTTTTACCATGCCGAATGTAATTAACTACCGATATCCTTTTTAGGCTTCTTTAACGTCTAATTTTCCCATATCATTAGATGAGCAAGAAAGTACATTTTGTAATTGAATTGTTATGAGAGGCGCAAGCATGGAAAATTGTCATAATCAATTGTAGGAATTTTGTATACCTATTTGGATTTTTCTGTTTACGAAACACAAAAAGTGGTTATGCTTATGATAACCATACATTAGGTATAACTACATGTATTATTTTAATGACTTACTTATCTACTAAATAGTTAGGTAGTTGTTAAAATTGAATGCTTTGTTAGTAACTAATTCGAAAAAACCCGTAATAATTGTCGGTAAATCACTGTCTCCACTCCATGTTTCTTCTGGTTGCAGCTGCAGTACACAGAACGTGCAAGTTATAACGCACAGGCATAACTAATAAAGGAAATCAAAAAAGTAGCACAATGCACGAATAAGCTGCCATACTTGTATTTCAACTCTATGAAACTTATATTTCATTAGTTAGTCCTTTTCTGATTTTTTTAAATTCTATGTGTAGCGTACGTACAAAATCAATGCAAAATGAGGTGCAAATTTGATCATTACTACGAATGTAACAAGCTGCTACATTTACATAATACAGAATATGCGGCAATGGTTATTTTACATGTGGAGTCAGCACGCTTTGAGTGAAGTTACGAAAACGTTGAGTTGGCAAAATAAGTGATGTCTTGCGACCTATAAACACTGACACATATCGTGTAAAGTAGTGTACTACAAATACTACGCCATTCATAAAGAAGTATTGTAAGGTGTACCTATCACAGAAAACAGAATTAAGTTAATAAGTTTCCTTATTATTTGAGGTGAGTCACTTTTGTACCATCGTTATTAGGCTAAACCATTGATTACATACTACGAACTATATAATCAATGGCTAAACTAACTTATTGCAATGGACTTTTGATAACTTACTCCGTTTGACTTTTTGATGTCTGCGTCTGCCTAAGCCCTTGCTTCGAGGTTCGAATAGTCAAGTTTACAAGGTAGGTGAAATACCAAGTTTCACTTTCGAACTTGATAGCTATATAGTAACCAAAGAACTATGTTCTCCAGTTCTCTTCCTAATGGTAAAACACACCAACGGTCATTGGTTTTATCCTCTTCATCAGTGGCGCAATCAGAAATTTGCTTTGGGGGGTGCTAGAATTACGAGTTGTCTTAGTACCTACCCTTTGGGGGGGGGGGGGTTGCTGAAAGAAGTAGTCCAAAACTCAACCTCTTGTATAAAATGATAATCAATGAATTTATAGCTAGCATTTCTTTGGTAGGCGATTTTTGTTAATTCAAAATAAATACCATTTTATTTTGTCGTTTTATTGTGAACTTACTTCAAAAACATTGCGATTTTGGACGATTTAAGAAACCCTCAAATTTTGCGATTTTGGGCGATTTCCAGGGGATATTTAAGCGATACGTATGAAGTAAACGTTGACAACCCTGACGCTAAGATAACTGGAACATCGAATTCATTTCATTTGTCCACTTCTTGTCTATGTGTAAGCCCTTACTCTCTTTAAAATTTTGGGGGGTGCTTTAGCCCCAAAGCACCCCCCTGGGTTGCGCCACTGCTCTTCATAAGCGTTAGTCATCACACGAGCATTGATTTAAATAATTTTTACTAGCAAATGAAATGAAGAATATCATTGCATGTCTTTCTCTGTTCTCGTTCTCTGTATCTCAGCTGTTTTTAAAGACAGAGCTTTGGGTTTTTTCACGACCCTGTGCCACTTTTTTTGTGAAACTTTTAATACCACAAACACAATCAATCTAGCTGCGTTTGTTAATGAGATACAGGGCGAAAAGTTTGACTTGGTGAGCTGTTACTACCCATGTAAGATAGAAAAAAGTTAAAAACTGCCTATTTTAGATATTTTTACGTAGAATCCAGTGGCGTGGTTAAAACATTTACTGGCCACCGTTTCTGAGATTTGATGAAAAGTTGATAGTTTTTTAATGCAACACCCTGTATATCTTAACGTCAACTTTTTGCATTCATTTTCCAGATGTACGAATATCACAACCTATATTTCTTTTTATTTTAACCATGAATCAAAAATAAAAAACTTATTTTTTAGTGTTTATAAATAGTATGCCATGGATTCATGGAGATTTTGTTTTGCTTATTGTATCCATGGTAACTAAGACAGCCGATACCACGGTATAAGATAGTATACATCGTGGCCGATACCAATCAATATAAATGTGCAAAATATGATATATAATTATATAAAAAAAATGTAGGTCTTTTTCACACTATATCTAAGAAACAAACGTAGCTAGATTAATTCTGTTTGCGATGTTAAAAGTTGCACAAAAAAGTGGTACAGGGTCACGCACTACAGGTTCAATCAAAATAGGACACACGGTGTATTTGGACCTCTCATATCTTTCTTGTATGATTCACTGTTTACCTTCTTTTTTTTAACTAATCAGCCGTCTGCTCAGGAAATGTAATGTATCTATTTGCTTCATCTATAATTGACTTATCAACGCATTAGGTAAAGTATATAAAAGTATATAAAAAAAACTGGGTAATGGAGGGACCAAAACAAATATGTTTTCTAAATAAACATTAATACCCTGAAAGTCACATTTCTTTTCTTTAAATTGTTTCTCGGCAATATATCGGAGGATCCAACTAAAGAATTTACTTAGGTTTTTTGATTTTGGAAAACTTCATACACATTTCTCCGAATTTCACGAGATTTCACGGCATATTTCTCAGATTTCATGTCGGACGTCAACAAATAATGGACTCCCGAGTACACTTCACTTTTTAATTATAAATTCAAAAAATCTAATTAATATTTGAATATTTGCATTGTGTTGCATTTTTTTTTGTTCGCGATTTTGATATACCTGGTATACCAGGTATAATGAGGGTGGGGGTTGTAACCACGCGGCGATGCAATACTTTTTTTTTTTGTAGCCTCGTGTAACAAATGCAAACGTGGTACAACTAATTGGAAGGATTGGGGTTCGTTGTTGGAATGGAGGCCAGAGGATGGCAATCTCGAGGCAAGGAATTCACAGTGGACAGTAGCAATAATAAAACAATTCTGTGATGTCAGAAATTGAGCAGGGACAATGGAAAGCGCTTTCTACTGGCCACCTCAATGAATTGAGTATAATCTTGCAAATTTTAAACACTGATCGGTACACAATAATGTAGTTAGTGATAACAATTTTGACAATTAACAATATGAAATGATGCGTGTAAGTGATAAGTGAATGGTAGGTGGAAGACGAGGTGAAAGACTTATCTTTCTGACGAGGGCTCCCTTTAGAACTATGTTCGTTACTCCGCAAGGGGGTGGATTTCTTATGGTTCGACTCCGTGACTCAAGAACTAAAATTACAGTAATTGCGCATTGATTATTAAATGAGTAAGCATACTCACGTCCATATGTGGACTTCCTGATATTTAATTTTGTGCAGATTATGCACTTATAAATTACTCAAATGATTTTTTTTTTTTTGAGTTGGATCCATCGTTCCTCGAAATGGGGGTTGAAATATATTATGTTATCAAAAATCTCTAAACCTTCCCAATATAGTTTTATTCGTTGAAGTTTTTAAAAATAACAGCGACTATAGTTTCGGCGTACTGCCATCATCAGGCGACTAGAAGTGTATCACAATATAGCAAATTTGAAAACATTAAGAGCTAGTACTTACTGTGAAAGTTAACAGGAAAACGGTAAATTACAAACGTTGAAGACGGATAAGACGAACATGTTGTTTTTTAATTATAAACTGGCCGAAGCCAAGTGAAAAACCT